GCTTTGCGTGCCGCCGCTCCCCGGCACGCACACGAAGCCCTTCCTGGCCCGAGCGCGGCTCCCCTCCCCCTCGGCCCCTCTGGTCCCCCGCGCCCCGGCGCACCTCCTCTTCCGTCGGCTACACGTAAGAGTGACCCAGGGTAAGAGTGACCTTTGGTGCGCGGCTTTTGGGGGCGCCAGGGAGCCAAACCCAAGGGCGCGGGCCGCTTATATCGCACCGCGCTCGGCGATCGGGGGGAGCCCGATGAGCCCGCACCAAAGGTCACTCCGGCGAAAGGTCACTCTTACGTGTAGTCGCTTCCGTGCCCTCGGTGCCCCGCCGCCGCCCCGCCGCCGCTCGACCGCCGTCGGACCCTCTCGCTGCCGCCGGCCACCGCTCCGCGCGCCCTCAGCGTCCTCATCAGCAGCCTAAGCATCACCACCAGCATCATCAACCGCATCGTCATCATCATCAGCATCATCATCATCATCATCATCATCATCATCATCATCATCATCATCAGCATCAGCATCATCATCATCATCATCAGCGTCAGCATCATCATCATCATCATCATCATCATCATCATCATCATCATCATCATCATCATCATCATCATCATCATCGTCGTAATAATCGACATCATCAGCATCAACATCACCATCATCATCAGAATCAGCATCATCAGCAGCAGCATCACCAACGTCAGCATCACCGTTATCAGCATCATCAGCATCAGAATCATCAGCATCATCATCATCAGCATCATCATCATCAGCATCATCATCAGCATCGTCACCTCCCCAATCCTCACATCCTCCTCCTCCTCCGCCTCCTCCTCCTCCTCCTCCCCATCCCGATCCTCATCCCCAAACGTATCCTATCCTGCTCCTCCTCCTCCTCCTCCTCCTCCTCCTCCTCCTCGTCATCAGCACCAGCATCATCAGTTTCATCCTCAATATCATCGTCACCAACAACCACAACCACCATCGTAATCATCATCATCACCACCATCAGCAGCAGCACGTTCATCATCGTCAGCATCGTCATCAACATCATCACCATCATAAACGTCATCAGCAGCATCATCATCGTCAGCGTCGTCATCATCAGCAGCCTCATCCTCATCCTCATCATCATCAGAATCTGCATCCTCACCATCCTCATCATCAGCAGGAACAGCATCATCATCAGCAGCAGCATCGTCGTACTCATCATCAGCACCAGCGACATTACCATCATCAGCAACAGCATGAGCATCATCATCGTGACAACCGGCATAACCACCACCATCCTCATCATCATCAGCACCATCATCGTCATACACACCATCACCATTATCATCATCATCATCATCAACAACATAATCAGAATCAGCAGCAGCACCATCATCATCAGCATCGTGGTCATCATCACCACCAGCATCATCAGCAGCCGCATCGTCAGCATCATCACCACCGTTATCAACATCAGCACCACCATCATCATCACCATCATCATCAAATCACCTTTACCATACGTATCAGCATCACCATTGTCATCATCATCCTCAGCATCACCATCATCACCATCACCACGACCACCATCATCAGCATAATCAGCATCAGCATCATCAGAATCGTCATCGTCATCGTCATCGTCGTCGTCGTCGTTATCGTTGTCGTATTCGTCATCGTCGTCATCGTCGTCATCATCATCAGCAGCAGCAGTATCGTATCCCTCTTTCTGCAGCAATGAGCTGTCCACCTCACATCGGCAGGTCGGTCTCGTCGAAGAAGTTCACTTCTCGAGCGCGGCCTTGCCAAGCAAGCATACTTCCAACCGCGCAGGTGGAGAGGTGGCTGGAGAGGTCTGGAGGCTCTGGACGTGGAGATTTCAAGCGGCAGGCAGGTTCTGGAAGGTGAAGAGGCACAGAAGGGGGCTCCTCGCCTCCTCCTACTCTTCCTCCTCCTCTCCTCCGTCTCCTCCTCCTCGCTCCTCGCTCCTCCCTCCTCGCTCCTCCCTGCTCGATGCCCCCTCGTCCTCCTCCCTGTTCCCTGCTCCATCCTCCCTCCTCTCTCCTCCCTCCTCCCGCATCCATCCTCTGTACTCCTCCTCCTCCTCCTCCACCTCCTTGTCCTCCTCCTTCTCCTTTTG